ACTAATCTTGATGGTGGACCCCACATAAAAGATGTGGAAGGTCCCCAATGGCATAAGGTTACAAAATTTTGGCAAGTGAGGAAGATTGTGGATGCTACCAAAGTTCAGAGACCCAGAGGCTGGGATTCCTCAGATAGGCCTCCCTCTAGGAGTTAGACTTGGAGCCTCGCCTTGAAGGATGAGTAAAACTGAAGCAAAAAAGTGGAAGAGACTGAAGAGAAAACTTATTTCTAACAGAGTGTGGGCTCTGGCATCTGACTAGTGAGAGCCAATCTTGGCTCTACCACGTGGCCTGGCCCTCATTATCCCTCTGTGCTTCCATTTCCACATCTGCATGGGAAAGATGAGAACAGTAGTATCTATCTGATTGCATTGTCGGGGAAGATGAACTGAGTTAGTTCATGTACATTATGAATTACATGATGCCATGCTTAACAGGCAGCAATCAGTGCTAGCTGTTAATTGAACGGAGCAAATACAAAGAAAGCACATTTCAGAGTAGTCCCTTTTCAAAACAAATCCCTTAAAATGAATTTATGTAGATCAAGATGAGAAATTATAGGAGGTGGTATATATAGAATGGACTACTTTTTTTTTTTCTCAATCAATCTACAGTTTTCCTTGGTTTCTTTTTGATAGTCAATAAGAAAGGGAACTTGTATTTTTAGTCAGCTTGGGCTGCTATAACAAAATACTACAGACTGGGTGGCTTAAACAACAGAAATTTATTCCTTACAGTTCTGGAAGCTGAAGTCTGAGATCAGGGTGCCCCCATGGTCAAGTTCTTGGGGATGGCCCTCTTCCTGGCTCCCATTTCCAGATAGCTGTGTCCTGGGTGTGGTGTGGTTGGGGAGAGCTCTGAATTCCCTTCTTCTTCTTCTTCTTCTCCTCCTCCTCCTCCTCCTCCTCCTCCTTCTTCTTCTCCTTCTCCTTCTTCTTCTTCTTCTTCTTCTTTTTTAATGTTTATTTTTAAGAGAGAGGGAGACAGAAGACAGAGCACAAGTCTGGGAGGGGCTGAGGGAAACCCATAATCCAAAGCAGGCTCCAGGTTCTGAGCTGTCAGCACAGAGCCCGATGAGGAACTAGAACCCATGAACTGTGAGATTATAACCTGAGCTGAAGTCCGTTGCTTAACTGACTGAGCTACCCAGGAGCCCCATGAATTCTCTTCTTATCAGGGCACTAATCTCATCATGAGGACCTCATCCTCATGACCTCATCTCTCAAAGGTCTACCTCCTCCTAATAGCATCAACACTGGGGTTAGGGCTTCAACATAGGAATTTGGGGATTACAAGCATTCAATCTACTTAAAAGAAAAATAAGAAGCAAAAAAATCAAACTTAACTTGTTATGGATGACCCTTTGGTGCCAAGAATTTATAAATTAAAACTTTAGGAATAAAAGAAAATTAATTAAAGTAGCAGTGACTTTGAAGTTTAAAAATGTAAGTTTTCTGAGCAAAAAGGGTAACAGTTTTCTTTCAAAATTATAGTTAGAGTGTTTGAACATATGGAATTCAGAGATTCTGATGGGGTGGAAGGGCAATGAGATGATGGTTTTATTACTTGTGACCAGAGGGGGTAATCATGTTTTTCATTGCTTTTTAATAATTATGAATAGCTAGAAAAATTATTCTGTGGTTAAATGTCTAGTAGGTTTAGCTTGTGCAGATCAAACAGATTTGCATGGTTTCTGGTGCATCCCTGAACCTAAGGAGCCTCTCCAGTTTCTCAGTGTCCCCTCCTGTCTGCCTCCTCCTTTCCCACTGTTCTCTTCTGCAGCCCTTGCCAAAGTCCAAGGAGGGGTGTGTGTGTGTGTGTGTGTGTGTGTGTGTGTGTGTGTGTGTGTGTGTTGGGAATCTCCCCTCCCATGTCTTCCAGATTTGTTGGGGGTTGGGGGAAGAGGTGGAAGAGAGGTGTTGCTGGGATCCCAGGTGAAAGGAAGAATGAGTTTCCTCATTAAAGCAAGGTTTATCAAAGCAGTTAATTTCTACAAAAATTACAGCACCAAAAAGGGTTTATTTACCGAAAAGCTAACGTTAGTACTCCTGATCCCTCATTTACATGAATACTTCCAAGGGGTTTTTGTACTTTTATCTTCCTTATCCAGAAGGTGGCTCCCCAAATTCTAAGTGCATCTGGCGTCATGATATCTGAAACGGTTTGTGGTCAACACTATTGTTTAATTACAGATTCCCTTCATGGACTTTTTGCAGACTATCCTGAGAAGCTCACTACCATTGACAATGTTACTTTCAAGGAATAGTGTCTACTGAGACACAAACACTTACTTAACAACATATAACCCGTTCTCTGCCTTAGGAAGTTGTCCAGGGACTTCATAAATGGCTTCTGCTGAAATAATAATGAAATAAATGGAGGGAAAATGAATATACTTAAAGTACTTATTGAGTGCTTCCCTCTGGGTAGTAGGATGATGTGACTTATTTTCTTCATACTTGGCTGAGCTTCCAAAATTTCTAAATTTTCTGCAATGAACATGTATTACTCTGAGTAATTTAAGCTTTGTTTTAAAAGTTCATAGTGCAGATACTCTTTAATTTACCCATGTATGAACCACTTGCCCTGTGGCCTTCTGTTAGTTTTGAGGACACCAAGTCAAAGGAGCTCTACATTGCCTTTCCCCGCCAAAATCTACAGTGTTAGCCACTGTTCTAAGCCCTAAATGGATGGAATTCAGCATTGGCCAACATTTATAGAGTTGACCTTCAGGGTGGTCTATGTAGAAGAGGGAAGAAGGTGGTGGGGAGACAAAAGCTTGTTTCCTTTAAGGATCTTTTTATATAGATAAACACACACACACACACACACACACACACACATCTTAGTCATATATTTGTTTCATTTTGCCATAGGAAGCTTTAGGCTTGGCCTAAAAACCCCAGAGAAGGGTTGACTACAGTTGCATAAACTCAGCAGATGGATTCCTCCTCCAACTTTGAGAAGGAATGCACAGAGGAAAAAAAAGTCTACCAAATTTGGGGTTAAACTATATATCAGAAATAACAGCTCATATTTATTGAGTTCCTACCATGTGTTAGGCATCATGCAAAGTGTTTTACACACATTGGCACCTCATTTTATTTTCCTTTTACATTCACAACAAGTCTATGAGGTAGACGTCGATCTCATCAATCCCATTTCACAGCTGAGGAAAGGAAGGCTAAACGAAATGAAACAGGTTGCCTACGCTAATGGAGATGGTGGCTGGCGGTGCCTGACTGGAATTCTAATTTGCTTCCTCTCCCTGCTGAACCACTCCTCTTTAGACTACAAAGAGTTCTGGCTCCAAAGAGAAAAATGAACCAGAATACGGAAAATTTAAAAAACAGAATTCAAGGTGATTTTCAAAAACAACTGTGTTACCAGTCTTTTAAATTAAGATAGAGAAAGCATGGGAAAACCATTTTTCCCCCAAAAGGCCGACTTCCTAGCCATTATGGGTGGTTACTAACTCATTTCATTACGCGAAGTTAGGAATTTGCTTTTCAATTAAGCGTCTCATCACGGTCACGGCTCTGACGTGTCTTTTTCCATTTTCCAACTTCATCTCGGTAGAAAGTGAGAAATGATTCGGTTTGGGTGTGATCTATGGGACCCCGGGGTTAACTTTTGCCCCTATTGTTTTCTCGGGTGTCCCTCACTCTGGAGGCCCCGCATTCCTTACGTGTCTGGGTCAATGCAGCAGCAGTGAAGCGCGGGGAAGCCGCACAAAAGACGTCCAACCGCTATCAGTGTTGAAAGATCAATTCAGTGCTTGCACGAAACACCCAAGATGACCGGTGTTCCCCAAGAAGGGAAACCAGGGAAAATATACCTTCTCCCGGAGGGTGGGAGATTGGTTGACGTGGTGTGAGTGCCCACAGAAAACCGGACAGATAAATAGTGGGCGGCGATCTCTCTGGACCCCCAACCATCCCAGAAGCGCCCAGCGGGCGCGGCCTCCGCCCTTTTAGTCGCAAGAGGCCGGGATGGGCGGGGAGGCGGGCAGCAGGACGCGAAGTCTCGGGCCAGGGCCGGAGGGGCACGGCTCTCTCGCCAGCAGGGCCGTTTCCGCCGAGTGGCCGAGGCTCCAGGGCAGGGCGGAGGCGGTTCGGTGGCCCGGCGCCGGCCGCGCGGGGCTGCCCCCGCCCAGCCGGGGAGGAGAGGGGCGCGCGGGGCGCCCGGCCTTCCCTCCGTGCCTTCCAGCAGGCGCAGTCCCGCGGCAGGGCCCACGGGCTGGCCTGGTCTCCCGCAGAGCTGGGCCCGCCCGCCACGGACCTGCCCCCCACCCCCCGCTCCTCCCGCCTCCCCGCCTGGTGACAGGGCCCGCACCCAGCTTTCCCGCCGGGGTCTCCCCTCCCGCTGGCCCTCGGGCTTGTACGCGCGCGCACGCACACAGACACACACACAGACACACGGGCGCGCATACACGCCCGTCGCCGCCCTCCCTGCAGCCCCGCGCGCCCGCTCGCCGGGAGCGGTCCTCCGGGTGCGCAGCGGCCCCGCGGCCTCCGCAGGCCCCTCCCCGGGGGAGGAGAGCGGGCCGAGCGCGGAGCCCCGCGCGGGGCGGGCCCGGCGACGGGGGCGTGGCCGGCTGTCCCCGCCCCTCGAGTGAGTGACTGGGCGCCGCGGGCCCCTCCCTCCCTCCGCCCCTCGCAGCGGTCCCCTCCCTCGCTCGCTCCCAGCCCGCTCCCGCTCGCTCCCTGCCCACTCCCGGGGGGACGCTCCGCGCCGCGGCGCCGCGGCCGCCTCTTCTTTCACACTTTAGTTGGGAGCTGCGCGCCGCGCTCAGTTACTGAAGAGCTGGCCGCGCGCCGTCGCCTCCTGCACGCACGCACGCGGGCCGGGCTCCGGGGTTCTCGGCGTCTACTCCGAGCGGCGGGGAGGAGGGGGACCCCCGGACTCACCGTGGGGAGGCGGAGGAAGAGGAGAGGAGGGAGGAAGAGAAAAGGCGAGGAGGAAAGGGGCGGGGGGCGGGAGGCTTGCCACCTTCAGCCCCCCCCCGCGAGCGCCCAAGGTAAGCGTTGCCCCCGCCGATCCCGGGCGGGGGGAGCGGGCGGCGCGCGGCTCGGCTCCCCGGCGATCCCGGGTGGGCTGGGAGGGAGGCCTGCGGGGAGTCTGGCTCAGGGAAGGGATGCGAGCAGCGGCGGTGGCGCTGCCGGCGCGCGGCCCCGGCCGGGGGCTGCCGCTGGTGCGGGGACGGAAGCTGGGGTGGGGGCGTCTGCTTGCCGGGGCGGCGGGGCTGGGATGCGGTTGGGGCGGCTGACGACTTTCGTCACATTGAGAGGCCTGGGTGGCTGGTGTGAGACACCCCTCCCTTCCCACCCGCTCCCCCTGCCGCCCTCAGCCTGCCTGCTCCTCTCGCGCTTTGCATGTAGCCACCGTACTTTGCAAGCCAGAGCTTGAAAGAAAAAAAACAGAATTCAGAATCCTTGGCTAAGTCTTCAAGTGCCTTCTCCCGCTCCGACTGATTGACGTGTTTGGGTGGGTGCTGGGATCCCTGGGATTTCTGAAGTTTTGACCTTTTGGGGGTGGCTTGTCTCGGTGCATCTGTTTGCCCACCTCGGTGTATTTATTATTCGTGCCCATGCGAGGCAGCAGCAGAGGGTGCTTGGGTATTGTACACGGAAAAGATTTCACTCCCCTCTGCAGGCAGTTCGCGAAGTGCGGCCGCCACGGCTGCCTTTGCTCTGCTGCTGATGTCCTTCCCTGGTCATCCACCCTGCCTCCTCCCTCCACGGAGGGATTCCCCCCCCCCCCCCCACTTACTGTTTGTGTGAGAGCAGTCCCTGGGCTTAAGGGCTCTCATCTCCCATTCATTCCTCTTCTAAAGCCCTGAATTGGCTCAGGCACGTTACATTTCAGGTGGCTGGCTTCCTTTGCTCCAGGAGTTACATGGTCAAAGATAAAAATATATGCACAGAAACAGCAAGAATCCTGAGTGATGACAAACACGGTTGGAGATAGAAGCGATTTGTTTCCAGTAGGAAACCTGCCTCTGTTATGAGGTATCTTCCGTCGCATGTGGGTTAGGAAATTTGTTTTAAAATAGATCGTGCTTATGCTGTGTGTGGCTGGAAGACAGCCATAAGTTCAGCTATTGGAGCAACTCTGAAAGTGATACACCCTGATCATCCAGAACCTCTGTGAAGGCACACAGGGGCTCTGACTCAGACGTGGGGGGTGGGGGGGGCTGACACACCATAGATTCCATGAGACACTTTTTTTTTGGTAAGGAAACACGATGGACTGGGGAAGTGACACGTTCATTACACAGACAGATGTTATGAAAACCTCCCTACTCAAGGGGATGGACTCACCTTTCACCTAATAATAACCTCACAGTTTGGTAGAGTTGGAATATACCAGGGCAGAAGAAAATCATGCGTAGTATAGGTCTGGGCTATTTAGCTCACCAGTGGGGAGAAAGTGATGTTTTTAACTTCAAGTTGCTCAGTTTGGGGGGGGGGGGTCCTCCCCTTTTTCATACTTCCAGAGCTGGGTTGTAGGACCAATTGAACATGTTCTGGATTGGCTGTTGAGAAAATAGAATGGAACAGACATGGAAGTTCATGTAGACTTGATCACCAGTTTTTGTTTGGCCCCTTGTGAAGTGGGAAGCGTCTGTGTTAGGACATCTGAGTATATTTATCTGCGTTAAGCCATTGCTGGAACTAGCACTTCGCTGATCACAATATGCAGCATTGAAATGTCACCTCCCCTCACGTTTCCTGCTGGGCAAACAGGGTTCAGATCCGGCTCTGGAGGGCCATTGGGAAAAGCAACGAAGACAAGTGAACTTAGCTCTTGGATGAGCCGATCCCTGGAAGAGTGCCTGCTTCTGTCGTCAAGCTTATCTCCATCAGAACATATGTCCCAAGAAAAATGGCCTTGGTTGGTGGGGAGGTCTTATATCCGATGTTGAAAGTTCATCCTGGAAGAACCCTGAGGGTCTGGCTTCCTTCTTCAGCATTTTCACTCTTTGAGAGAACTGATCATTTTGTTTTCTTGGCTAATAATTTATTCATCACCCCTTTCTCCTTATCTCATTTTATCATCTAACATGGATTTCCGGGAATTAATAGGCCACTGTTTGAAGTGGTTTGAGCTTCTTGAAGAATCACAGGGTGCAAATCAAGCGATTGTTCATTGATTGGTACTGCTTGCTGTGACTGATTCAAAACTCCTACCGAGGAAGAAGGTGGTTTGCCCGATGATGAGTATCATTTCCAGGTGCTTCAGCATTGTGTTGGATTTTCCACCAGGGAAGCTTGATTGGTAAACATTTTGAGTGGTTTGCTCCAGGCTCTTTGTGGCTGGCCCCCTTTCTCCTGGATATTTTCTCTCAGAGATAGAAAAAGAGACAGAGAGAGAGAGTCATGGCACTTCTTGTAAGGTCAGGGGAGGAAGGAGATGGCAGGGACTCGCTCACAGAGGACCCTATGTGTGATCAATACCACTAACTTCAGTTGAACATATCAATACAACTTGGTGCTATCTGAGGCACAAACAAGTGCATTTTGGGGCCATTTTATGACCCTTCTTTGGAATTTTAGAAGTCTCATAGCATGGGAGAAGTCAATGTTGTGATTAAGTTCTTGTTAAAACACGAAATGCAGATTGCGATAGACTAGGACTAAAATACTGCTTAGGAAACTAAGAAGGCAGAGATAGGGCCCGTCTGCCGGGAGAATTGCAACACTGAAACTGTATTTTAGAAACTGGTGACAGTTGTGACTTTAAGAGATCATAATTCAAGGACTTATCGAAAGTGGCATGTAAATTACATATGTACACATTTTTAAAGTAGGCAATTATTTAGCTTGACTGTCTCAGTTCTGAAGTTTAATTTTACAAGTTAACAGTTGCAACAAGAAACAACTTGACATGCTCTGGTTATGCAATCGTACAAGAGTGATTGGATGTAAGCTGGGCCAGGAGGAACATAGACATGAGCACCCAGCCGCGTCCTCATTCAGCAGGTATTAAGAAGTTCCTTTCCTTTTTTTTTTTTTTTTAATGAAATGTGTTCCTGGAAAATGTATTTCCTGGGTTGTAGGCTAGTCCGGGAATGTAAAGACTACCTTCTCTCTCCGCTCGTGAAAGGAGAGGTAGCTCCCCCGATCCGAAATGGACACTTGGAAGATTAATTGACCACGTGACTGGGAGGTCGGTGGCTTTGGTCATCTTTGCAATCCCCACAGTAGCCAGCACACTACCTTGTCCTTGGAAGTTTCTCAGTGAGTGATTGAACTGAATTGAATTAACCTAATTAGTTAAGGTCTGTAATGTGTCAAAAAACTCCTTGGAAATACATTAACTGCGGACTTCCATTTTAATAAATCAGTATGATAGCCTATTAAGAGCTCCATATTCTGCCTCAGGTAGGATTTTGGGTTTTTTTTAGTTGTTGAGGAATGTTTGACAGGCAAGAAAACATACCAGGCGTAATGTCCCCTCAGATTACTGGAGTGTCTCGTTGGGGCATCTTGATCTGGATTACATATACCACCCATCTTTGACAACTATTTCTTCACTCATGAGTGTGAAGTGGGAGTGAGGTCTTTATCCCTTTTGCCCGCAGGGTTCAGGGAATAACAGTGTCTCATATTGAAAGGCTCCCTTACGTTTGGTCGCATGCTGCAATCTCTCCCAAAAGGTGCCTGGGTCTATGAGTGGGGGAGAGGGTCTGGGGAGACTCAGGTACCCCACCTCTTGGTTTCCCAGATTTTCCCAAGGGAGGCAGGAATCCGTAGTCACTGCTGCTCCTTTAAGTTAGTTTGTAACTTAAAATGGGGAAAGTGGAGACCTGCATGGCGCAGTGAGCTCCCCAGGCTGCTGGCGTCCCTCGGCTCTGCCCCTACTTCTGACCTTACTCCTTTGCCAGATGCCCCTCTCATCGTCCTGTCCTGGGAGTTTTAACATGGCTTTCTGCCCCACGGATTTCCCCCTATAGACTCTCTTGCTTCTTAGCCTCCCACCTTACTTTTGCCTGCAAGACTTGGGTATTTTGTGTTTGAATAATCACTTTTCCAGTGCTTTAAACTTATCCCCAGGCCCACTTTCTCCTTGACTCCGCCCACCTCTCTGTTCCCTAGACTTCTGGCATCCACTCCACTGTCTCCCTTCTACCCTCGGGGCCCCTCTACCTTGTCCTACTTTGCCCTAAACCTCCCTTATTACTCCCACCCACTTCTCTCCCTCAAGCCTTTAGATCTTCCAGCACACTCCTGCCTGTGCCTGTTTCACAGGCTCATGCCATCTTAGCAAATGCATTTATAGCATTCATGAGTTCAAGTCCACATGGGATTAGAGCACCCACGAGTTGAGGGATCTTTTTGCCTTTGTGTTCACTTTTGATTTCACTATGTTTTGGATTTTGTAAGGTTCTTAAGCCATTTAATAACTGCTGAGGTCCTTTGCTTCTTCACTTAGCTGTTATATCCTGTGTTGGATAATAAAGGAACATCTCAGTGATTATTATTATTTTTAAAGATTTTAACAACAAATTGTGAAAAGCATTTCAGAGATTTTCATCATGGCACCATTGAAAGGCGTTGCTGTGTACCAAAATCTAATTACTGATGACAGAAGTCATATGGCATGTTGAATGGCATCCTCATTACTTCTTTTTTTCTCCTTTGGTAAATAAATATTACTGTAAATTGAACCAAATTTTTCCTCATTTGTTATGGTTTTACTGCTCTCCATGAAAATTTTATAAGCTTACAGGACACATTTATGCCAAGTAAGGATTCTTTAGCAAAGACCTAATGCTGTTGGTTTTCTCTCTACGTTTGTAGCCTATATCAGCCCCATCAGTAGGGAGTCAGTGGGAGAAAAAGTATTAATGGGGACAAGTACTAGAAAAACATACCCTATTGACTCATTACATACATAGTTGGGTTGGTCTTTTTATAAAGCTGTATTTCACAAGTAGGTCCAACACTAGTTATGCAATATCCTGAGCTGTAGGGCTTTGGAAGAAGGTGCTTTAAAGCAGAGCAGGGAAGATGG